AGCCATTCCCGAAGGAACAATCCAAACATAGAGAAGATAAAGAACAGCAGGTGTCTATGGAGCAAATCCCTAAGAAACAAACTCAAGTCAAACAAGCTGAAGATCAGCAGGTTCAAGAGGAAGAATCCCCAAAGGAACCATCTCAAAATAGGCAAGCCAATACCCCGCAAGTTCAAATAAGGAAACCTTTAAAGCAGATGTACCAAGATTCGGACACCTCAAGCCAGGAACACAAAGATGGGCAATTCCTCCCAAAGCCATCTYTGCAATGTAGAAAACAGAATTGGCAAAACTTTAACCAGCAATCTGAAGACTGGAGAGGTCAAGGTAGGAGAAACAAAGATTGGATAGCACGAGACTGGCAATCAGAAAAGCAGCATGCCCTACACCAGAGGACCCTAGAGATTTTAGAGAAACAATCTCTAAAGCAGAAAGGTCTGTGCCAGAAAATCCCATCCCAGGGCACTCCAGCCCAATATAACCTAAGCAGGCAATTTCAAGGAAAAGACCAAAAAGAGGCTCAATCCAAAGTTGCACTAGAAGAAGATAAGCCAATAAAAGACACCAAAGAAGGGAAACCAACGAATCTGCAACTAGAAGAAATGAACCCAGATTTCCAACCTTCTTCTAGCCACAGTTTAGTACAAGACACAKATTTAAACTATTTGTCCAACATAGATTCAGAACAAGAGGTACAGCATTATGCTTCAGCGAGCTCAAACTCATACAAAGATTTGAATATAACTTCTAGCTCGTGTTGGTCAAAAGAACAACCACAATCTGAAGAGTCTGACTAACAGGCAGAATCTACCCAACTATCACACTTCCCCCAATAAGAGAAGCTAAATGAAGGAGAACAACAGAGTCTTTCCCATGTTCTCAACTGTGGTCGCCATCTAATTCGCTCACCAGAAGATGAAGAGCACGCAGAAAACTCCAAAGAATTCATTCTTATTAGAACAAAATGACAACAAATGACATGTTAATACTATATCAGAATTTTCTGGGAGTGAAGGAATAAATCGCATGTCAACTTTTGTTGTCTAAATATTTAGTGTTTCAATTTATAATCACCAATTTGTTTTAGAACTTAACACTTCATAGGCGACTTTCCTGCGGAGCCAACATTTTTTGGCCTCCTCCTTTGTGTCCTAGAGAGAGTCAGACAGTCAACTAGAAGTTTTCAGGATCTAGAGGTGTTCAAGAATCAGAAGAGTCAGGAATAAAACTCACCCCCATCCTTCCTGTTTGGTGTTTCCAGGTCTCCCATTTATTCTCCTTCCCTGAACTTGTGTCAAGGATATAGTCCCTAGGTTGACTCAGTGTTCAACCAGATGGAAGGTGACAATGAAGACAGGATGTGTGGAGGGGGGTGAAAAACATGCACCTAGAGACAGGAAGGTAGGGGGAAGGGAAGGGCAGAGGTACAGCTGTGATAAAATACAATCACCTGTAATGTGCTGAGTGTGGCTCTAGGTCCCTTTCATACACCTGTATTCACTCCTAGTTTCTCAGCCCAACATGATTTCATTTCTGTGAAGAGATTATGTTATCAAAAGCCATCAATTATCCTCCATTTTTTCTCTTTCCTCCTCTCAGATCTACCTGCCCTTTCCAATAAATATCTGGAAATATCCAGAGATTTGCCAGGTTGTATCATTATCATCTGGAGGAGAAGATCTAGATTTATTTGTAATTTAAATTAAAAGAAAAAAAACTAGAGGATTTGGGGACTCCTAAGCAAGTGACAGTTGGTCCTCCAGAACTCTTCAGTATGGAGATGGATCTTTTTAAAGGGGAGATCGTTTGCAAAACAGAGAAAGATGAGAAACTTTTAAAAAAATGAACTCCAGCTGCAGTAAGATAGGAGAGAAAGAATACAAAGAGCCTTTCTTGGAAATTCGAGGAAGACTAATTCGGTTGACTGTGAATCAGAGACTGTGGTCTGATCGTTTGGGACATCATAACTTCCCTAGAATAGCTAGTAGTAAGAAGCTTGAAATAAAACCTTGATTTGGGAACTTTTTTTAAAAAAAAGAAATACAAAGATATTATACACTTTTCCATAAACCACCTTCAGAGTAGAGTAATACCCATATAAAGAGTGGGTTTTGGAAAGTTGCAAAATAAGAAGGAATCTAAGGATTTAGGAATAAAGATAACTAGTAAACAAATTCATGTCATCCATTTGTAAACACATCTAGGGTTTCATTAGCAGAAGCGTATAGAGTTTCACAGTCAATCCCAAATAGAAAAATGGGGTAAAATAGCTTCTAGGMTGGCATAGCGATATTTTCAATGTTCTTATAGTTAAGTTCCTGGAAATACCTGTCGCTGATAAAAAAAAAAAACAAAAAACAAAATGAACTTTAGAAGTATGCCGAAGTCCGGCTGCAGCAAAATAACGGGGGGGGGGGGGGGGGCGGGTGACGAGCAACTTGTGTAGATCGATACAGCAGGAGTGGGAGCCGTTTATTGTAGGACAACAGAGGTATTTATACATTCCACACAGCTTATCTTAATTAGCATAAACTAGATACAGCAGTCAACCAATAAGGAATCTCCACACTTAATGGCTCGCTGGCCTTACTTCACAAACCACTCCCTCTGGCATTTTGCCAGGCCCCATCCAGACTTGTTTACAGACTAACATTTCTCTGGCAAAATGCCAGGCACCATCCTGACTTGTTTACAGACTCTAACAGAAGTATAAAGAAAAATGAAGTATTTGGCCACTAGGATTAGAATGGTAATAATAGAAATAATACTTATTGTTTTATTTTTATTTTAGTAGAATTTATTTAGCATCGATTATAGTCCAAGTACTTTATCATTCACTAAGAATAACCTTACAATTATTATTCCATATAAGAAATTTAACAGGTAATATATACATAAGTTAATATCAATATGCAAGTTCATAGATAACTTAGCCTAAGTACTATAACTAGAAAATAAAAGGACTTAGAATTGTGTCTAGACTTTTTTTTTTTTACTCCCAAATTTGAGTCTTACTGCATCACCAGAATTGGCCTGTATGAATTAAAACATAATAAATAAGCTGTCTTTCTTCATTTGTCAGATACTATGAGAATGTTATTCTAGTCATCATGCTTAGGGAGGGGGGAAAATAAACCAGAAAACATCCAAAATATTGTGGGGCAAGTGTCTCAGAAAACACCCCAAGTCCCACTTTTGTCCAAATGAAAGAGTATTTATTTCGACCGGCCAGGACTGCTTCCTACAGGACCAAGTTGTCTCTGCAGAAAACAGTCTGGGGTGTCAACATTTTAGGGTATTTAAAGGCAAAAACCACATCAGGGTTGGCATACCTGTAAGCAAGCAGGAGTACAGAAGCAGAATCGTGCAGTTAGCAAAACAATGCAACGGATACACCGGCATTTCCCACGGGACTTTCCGGGTTGGCATAGCAGCAAACATGCAGAAGGGAAGTAGGTCAAGATGACCCTAGTTGAGGACAAATTAGAGAATGGTCACTAATGTGTAGACAACCAATCTCTGACAGGGTACATTATCCAAGAAAAATGGGAACCAAAGAGAGGACAATTTTACATTGTATAAAAATTGCCATTTTGTGTTGCCAAGTATGCTATGGTAGGTAACGATTAGTGGGTACAAAGATGGGTTTTCCCATAGGAGAAGTATTCCTTACATGATATAGAGTCTCAGGGTAAAATGGAGTCTGTTTGGTCATTGCCCATATAGCCTGGCCCATAACACAGAGTACAGCTAAGCCATGGGTAGAAAGGGTAAAATAATACCTTATGAAGTGTTTTGGAGGAGAGTTTGCTAAACTCGGAGAATACTAACCTAGCATCAGGTAGTTTTATGAAAGACGGTCACCATGAGGATTCTATGTCCATGGAAAATTGAATGAGTGAAGGGTAAATCCAAAGAAAAGACATTTTAAGGGAATGAGCAGTGTTTACAAATGTTCTCACTGGTAAGTGCCTAGAAGTTGATCACATTGGTGACAGTAGGAAATTCAAATAAAGTTCTGATCTCTATGGGAAATACCAGAGGTGACAAGACAAAATGTAAAAAAAAAAAAAAAAAAGACATGAATTCTTTTATTTTATCCATCTCCCTGCAATTTGACATGCAGATCCTTCCACACAGACATGGAGTCTATGTCCTTACATTAGAACCTGGACTATCTACACAGTTGTGTAGGCCAAGGGAACACTAGCATATGACTCAGATGAAAAGCATCTGTGAATTGGAAGAGAACCAGGAGTCTGCCGACTGTCCGACACGTGACCGAGGACATCCTACTTCATCCAACTCTGGACACTCCACCAGTTGACCACTCAAGTGTGAGAGAAGTTGGTAGAGACGAGCCGAGTTTGAACAGGACCAGAAGAACCAACTATGGCTCACAGAAGTGTCAATGAAGTAACAACAGTAGTTGTTAGAAGCCACTAGGTTTGGGGTAGACTTTTACCCAGGGAAAGCTACTAAAAAGCAGGTGAATAAAAGAAAAGAAAAACAGTGACAGGCTACGAGGATGCTATGTGTGCTTCCAAAATTGGCTAATTAGATCTATAGCCTAAGAGGCTTGGTCCTCCACCTGCATGAGTATAGAAAATGAGGAATTTTTTCTAGTCGCCATTTAGTTGGGAACTAAGATGTCTTTCTAGGTCATCTAGTCTGATCTGGTCTAGAGAAACATGAGGAAGCCGAGATCAGCATAGGGGGATATGACTTTTCCATGGTGACAATGTGTTTCTGATCAAACCAAGAACACTAGTGAGTTCCTCGGATCCACAGTCCTGGGCAGCTTACTTTCTAACTTACTTGGGATCTTGCCCAGTCCTGAGATTCTATGACTCTGTGACTCTATCATTCTATAATTCCAAACCCAAGTAAACAATGCCAGCGCTCCAGACAGGCCTGGAACAGCAAAAGAACATGGTCTAGACTGAAAGACCAACTAAAAAAATTTTTTTTTTTCATTTGAAAACACCAACAGTACCATCATGAACTCAAGGGAAACGCACAGTCCTGTGTTTCTGGTATTTCCTCCAGAGATCAACCAACCAGAGTATCATGAAAATGTCCTCTCAGCCACCACCTACGCATCTCAAAACCTCCTGCAGAAATTAYTTACTTCAAAACTGAAGATCTTAGGGGTAAGACTTGCCTCCCTGTGTGAATTCTACTAAAGGGGCCGAGGGAAAGAATAGAAAGAAACGTCTGGTGGCCCATGTGTCCAGGTGGGAGTCGATTCCAAGTTTTATTTCCACTCAATTCAGAGAGTAGGGATTACATTTCTATACCCATAYGCATGAGATGCTGCAAAGAGGAGAACGCAAGATGAAAAAGTCAAGGGCCCTAGGCTCTTGACATTCACATTCTCCATACTGACCAACTATTAAATTTTTTCTAGTTGATTTCTGAGAGAAGAAATGGGAAGGAAAATCAACAAAAAGTCAACAGGACAGAGTCTTATGTCTTGGATTATTGCAATTTTCCCAGTTTTATATTTTTTTCTGATCAAAAATCAGAATTCAAAGCCTGGCATGAAAATTACATGTATATTTGCATACAGCTGTTGCAGAATAGCCTCTTAATACTATTAATACTCATCTCTCCATTCATCCGGCTAACCCATGCCATAAAGATTAATTTTCTTTTTTTTTTTAACCAATCCCTCTTTAGGATAATGTGGGGATTCGGTTGTATTGGAGATTATAATTTGTCCATATCTGAAAACATTTGTCCTCTCAGGCCTCATCCTCCAAGAATAAAAAAAAAATAGAAATTAATTTTTCAGAAAAAAATATAATAGAAAAGTGGAAAAAGATGGTCAAGTAAAATGAAGAAGAGAACCATCAATGTAAACTGCTTTAGCATCTATTCAAATATAATGAAATCCAAAATTGTGCTAAACAATTCAAATTACTTTTCAATGGAGCATCTAATAGGAGCTATAAATGGTGGTAGTGATGGCGGGTCAGATAGAGAATAGTTACTTCCAACTAAAAGGACAAGACAATTTTATGGCAATTTTGGCATTTAACATGAACTCTAAAGAAGTGGTGGAATTTCAACAAGTGGAAATAAAAAGAGAGGAAGGAGGCAGGACAGTCTAAGTGGGAAACACATCCTAAATAAATGCATATGGTAGCAGGTTAGGAATGGCAAAAGAGAGCTGGGAGAGGTCAATCAAGGCTTCAAAGACTCAAGAAGGTTAAAAAATAGGAAGCAACCATCATGGACAAATGAAAACCACAGGATATCCACATCATGCAAGAGTATTCATTGGTAAAAGAAATGAGCTGCCCAGACAAGAAGAGACGCAGGGAAACTGTAAACACTAGGGTTCAGTGAAGGAGGACAGTTTATAAAGGCTACCTATTGTAGGATTCCAACTATAAGGCATTCTGGAAAAGACAAAACTATGAGATAATGAAAAGATCAGTCAGTGCCAGCCAGAGGTTCTAGGGATACAGAAAGGGATGCATAGGGTAACTCAGAGGATTTTAAGGTCAAGAAAATGATTCTGTATAAAATTGTAACACTACAATGGCAGACTTTTGCCAGAACTYGCAGAATGTGCAACATAAAATGAGGTCTAATGTGATCTCTATGGACTATAGTTGATGGGGTGTCCATGTCGGTTCATCAGCTGTATTAGATGTCCCTCCATGATGTGAGATGGTGGTGGTAGGAAATGCTGGGATGAAGGGGAAGAGGCAGGAAGAGGAAGGAGAAGAGATGTAGGAAACCTCTTAAGTTTCTAATCAATTTTACTGGAACCTAAAACTTTTCTAAAATATAAAGTCTATTGATTTAAATGAAATGCTAAATATGGTAAATGTCATGTGCCACAATAAAAATCATGAGATAACATATTTGTGTATTTTGGTACCAGGGATTGACCTCATAGACGCTTACCACTGAGCCACATCCCCAGCTCTTTATTTCATATTTTATTTGGAGACAATTGCTGAATTGCTTAGGGCCTTGCTAAGTTGTCGAGGCTGGCTTTGAACTCACCATCTTCCTGCCTCAGCCTCACAACCTGCTGGGATAACAGGCATGAGCCACTGCGCTGGACATGAAATAATACTTAAAAAATAATAAAAAAATTCAAAARCAACCATGAAGGTACTTTGAAGACCCAATATTCAATAATTATATGTGTTCCCTCTTTATGAGATTTGATAATATAGACAATTAGTTTCCAACCTATAAAATTACTGAAACTACTAAAAGTGCTTATTTCATAAAGTATATAACAAGTTCCTATGCCTCAATGTGGAACCACTGACCCACATTTTTGAGGAGGAAGAATACTAGAAATATGTTATCTTTAAAACATTTCTCTGAGTGAATCTAATGCCCACAGGATTCAGGAATTACTATTCAAACAATTCTGAAGAGTAATATGATTTGGAGTTGTTTTGGAATTTTACTTTAGCACTGAMTCAACATGTGGAAAAAGAAGATAGGTGCAGGAAAGCCAGTTAGAAAATTCTAATAATTGAGATGAATGAGTGGTGGCTATTGAGGTGACTGAATTTCCCAGATTCCTATAGTAAGAGCAGTATTTGCCTCTATAATACTTAYAATCTTAAGAAGTCAGAATGTGTCCTCCTAAAAGAGCTCACTCCCAAAAATGGAATAAAAGGGCTCGGGTTCTCTTTGCCCAGTATTTTTTAAAACTTACCAAAGCTTCTGCAGAGCAAAGAAAATGATTAAGAGTGTGAAGAGAGAGCCTACRGAATGGGAGAAAATCTTGGCCAGCAACTCCTCTAACAGGGGATTAATATGGGCAGAATATATAAAGAACTAAAAAAACTTAACACCAAAAAACAAACCAAATAACCCAATCAATAACTGGGCAAAAGAACTAAACTTTTTAAGAAACTTTGCAAAAGAAGAAACACAAATGGCTAATAAATTTTTWAAAAAAAAGAAAATTCAATATCTCTATCAACCAGGGAAATGCAAATCAAAACTGCACTAAAATCTCATCTCTCCAGCCAGAATGTCAGTGATCAAGAATAAAAACAATAATAAGTGCTGGCAGTATTGTGGGGGGAAAAGGTACACTTGTACATTGCTTTTAGGACTGCAGATTACTGCAACCACTCTGGAAAGGAGGATGAAGATTTCTCAAAAACTAGGGATGGAACTACCATGGTGACTCAGCTATCCCACTCCTTCATATCTTTCCAAAAGATCTGAAATTGGCATACTGTGGTGACACAGCCACCTCAATGTTTATAACAGCACAATTCACAATAGCTAAATTATGGAATCAACCCAGGTACTTGTCAATAAATGAATGAATGAAGAAATTGTGGTATACATATACAATGGAGTTCTAGTCAGCCATAACAAAGAATGAAACTATGGCACTTACCAGTAAATGGAAGAAAGTGGAGAATATCATGCTAAAGGAAAATTAGCCAAACTCAGAAATTCAAAGGTTTCATGTTTTCTCTGATATGCAGAAGCTAGAGTAAAATAAAGGAAAGGGGAAGGGAGATGACATAAAGATAAAGGGCAGATAAGTAATGTAGAAGGAAATGGAGAAGCAGAGTGGAGGGATGGGAAAGGGGAGGCAATGAAGAATGAATTCTTTAAAAATCTTAATATGTGCACATATAAATATACCACAGGGAATTTCATCTTGATGCATAAGTAAAAAGAACCAAATATAAATTAATAGATGAGTGAAAAAGAAGTCTAGTAGAGGAAAAGGAACAAGGAAGGGGAGAGAGAAGGGGGAGGGAAATGGAGACACCATGAACTGAAGTCTAAGTCCATTCATGGACGAGTTTGTCAGGATGAACCCAACTACTGTGTATGGCTATAAAGCTCTGATTTTAAAAATTGTGGGTCCAGGCTTCATGAAAATATTCTCACTTAGGGCTCCACTAAAAGTGATAGTTGCTATGGCAGCAAGTGAGATCACTCAGTCTGAGAAGGTGGACTGAAAGTAAAAGAGGGCAGAGGGCATAGACTCCTGTTCTTTATGCCATAGTTTCTGTTCTTTATGTCACTTTCGCGGTCTTCCCTAACACTTGTCAGGCTGCTGCTTGGTGTTGCATTGCATCACAAGTGTGGCACAGGAGGGAAAACAGAACAAAATACAGAGTCCAAGAGAGCTTTAGCCTTGGTAGGGGGACAGCAGGCTGAGCATGGGTCATAGGCAGGGGTTTTCTGACAGTCCACTTCTCCCTGAAACAGGCTGGTGCTGCAGTTTAGAATTGAGTGCTCGTCCAACATTCACTCATATGTGCTAAGGAGTTGGACAGCTTATGAAGACACAAGTTTCTTGGTTTCCTCCTGGGGATTCTGATAAGTACAGGATAAGACTGAAACTTTGCATTTCTGGCTCACAAGAGATGCCGAGGTTGCCATCCATAGGTCACATTTTCAGGAACATTGACTTAGATCATTTTCCCGATTGCCAAATATCACAGAGGAATTAAGCACATACCTGTGAGCATCATAAAGGGACTTTGACTATTCTTTTATTTTTCATAAAAGAAGGTAAACTGCCAAATCTTTTTAATCAAAAGAAGATGTAAGCAGAAGGGAATCCCGTCACTTTGTTTTTTTTTCTCACTATGATTTTCCCCTCATTTACAGGCTACTCAGATCCTGATTGGAATTGTAAACTTTTCTTTTGGAATTATTTTTCTTTTCACCTTGGTACCTCCTTACCCAAGGTTTCCTTTTATACTTCTTTCAGGATACCCATTTTGGGGCTCTGCTTTGGTGAGTATAATCAATCAAGTTCAATTTGAAGCCATGCCACCCAGGATGGCGGGAAATTCCTAGTTATGAAATAAACTATATTCAGGAGTATGGTGGGCTTTGAAAAGTACGACCAAGAAAAAAAAATCAGCCTTTGTGAAATTACTTCCCCATTAAATTACCAGAATGACTGTTTTCCCAGCTTGAAGTCTTGAAATTCCTCTGGGAAAATTTCTTTGGGCCTTGTAGTTGTTTATTTGTTCATTAATTTGTTCAAAATTTATTGCTAATATAATCTAGATCCATAGAGAAAGACAAGGATCCAAAAGTTAGTACAATGAGAGTCCTTCAAAGGGCTCCCAGGCCAGGCCAGGGAGAAAACTTGTCCACGGATCACATGAAGGTAGTATGAATAAATGATCTCACACAGGTGTAGGAAGTACTCAGGTAAACAGAGGCAAAGGAACAACTTCCTCCTTAGAGAAATGGAGAGGCAGAGAGGGGAGCACGGAGGACCTATTTAACCACGTTCAATAAACATTACTTTAGCATCTAATTTAGCACCAGAGAATGAGTGGAGTTTAGGGGTTGCTCATACAGGCAGTCCCCAATCTCAAGGTCCCAGTTGAGTGGAGAGTCAGACAAATTACCATGGAGTGATGAGTGATGACAAAGGTCATAGGGAAAGCATCTAAAAGCATCAGGGACATTGTCCAGAGCCACTTCCAGTCTGAGTTTTAATGGATGATGAAGATATATCCAGGGCATCCGGAGCAAGGGATAGGAGTGTCTTGTTGCATGCCAAGGGGGAAATAAATGCAAAAGGCTGGAGGTGTGGGGAGCGTTGTGTATTCTATGTCCTGCAAGAGTTTAGCACAGAGGGTGAGAGTGCAGGGAGGGGGGTGGAGAAATGCCAGCAAGGAGGCTAGAAACTTAAACTTGGGTGGGCTGTAATGGGATGGGAAGTTTCCACTGGACAATAATGCTATCATATTTGGCTCACCTTCATGAAAATTCTTGGGATTTTTTTGTTGTTGTTCAGAATTAACAGCATATTAGCTACCAACCCCAGATTAGGTTGTAAGAAAGATGGAATCAGATCTTATTGGTGATAAGTGGATGTGACACCTAGTGTGTCGTGACAGCAAAGCTGAGTCCACACAATAGCCGTAAAAGGAAGATGAGTGAGAAAGCTTAATGTCCCGTAAGGTTAAAAGAAAATCTCATGCTCAAATAAGTAGCGAAGCCTGGAGCCGATGTCCAGTGCAGTGTTTTTGTCCTTTGTCCTGTGTGGACAGTCATCCAGACAGCTTCCCCTTCTCAGGCCTGGCAAGACCATGTGAACTCAGGAGGAGGATGCAAAGGGAATGTGTGGACACCCATGGCGTGGGGACTCTTCCACGTCAGCTAACCATGGCCCCCATTAAGATACTCATTCTCTCCCACAGTTCATTACATCTGGAGCCTTTCTCATTGCGTTAAAAAGGAAAACCACCGAATCCATGGTGAGTGATGTTTCCCCTTGATTAAAAACTTACAACTTTGAAATTATTCATCCTAGCCTTGAAAGTGAGTTTTGAAAATCCCTAGGTGACCACAATTCCACAAACKGCCAAGTACTCATACCATGAAATGGCATTTGCTTCCTACTTTCATGGAATCGTAAGCTCCGAGTGCCAGAAGAGTGTTTTCTGGGTCACCAAGCCGAATTCTTATTCTAAATGTGAAGACGCTGAGGCACAGAAATGTTAAGCAACTGGTTCAATTTCCTCAGTCCCTTAGTGGTAGAATGCATCTCCATATTCCTGCTAGCCCATCACTCAGTCTTTCTGGATATTTAGTGCCTACTGCATGCCAGACACTCTGACAGACACTTATTTGACCCACAGGAAAGATATACTGTAGAAAACCTAATTAAGTCAGAAGTAGAATCTAGAAATCAAAAGTGTTGCTAAAGAATGTGAAATTATAACTTATAGATTCATTATAACTAGAATAGGTCTACCCAAAGATTCAGAGATATTAGATATTGATTATAAGCCAATAAATGATTTTTCTGAACCACTTATTGACTTATTAATAGGAGTAAATGTAAATATGTAAAAAGAATATCTCCTATAAGTTTGTGGCTTGAAATAAAAATTGCAGAGAAATGCAATGTTCAGTTTGACACAAGAGTCTTGAAGTGAAAATGCTAATGGACCCTGAGGTCTAAATGCAGTGGAACACAGTGACCCCACAAAGCCCTGTGTCCCAGGTGCACCCCTCCCCATTCAAATGGAAATCATCGTGGGTGCAGAATGTGAAAAGAAGGAGGAGGAATGTATTAAAAATTCATTGGATCCTCTTATTCTGTGGATGAGGGCTGAGTCCCAAAGAAATGAAGCTAGCCTGTGACACTGTGACACTGACTAGAATCCTGCTCTCCAGCCACCCTCTCATTGCTTTGACTATAGCACAGGCCGGACCTAAATCATTGTATTATGCTCTGATTCTATTTCAGGCGAAAGTGAGCCGGGTAATGAATTTTCTTAGTGCCGTGGCAGCAGCAGCTGGAATCATTCTCCTCACATTTGGTTTCCTTCTAGATCGAAACTACATTTGTGGCTATTCTCCAGAAGGCATTCACTGCGGTGAAATTACTGCGCTCTTGGTTGTAAGTATGCTGTAATTTTAGAGTAAAAAAAAAAAAGATTTCTTAACACTTAATTAGCACCATCCAGATAATACTGTGGATACACATGCCTTGTCTTTTACTCATAAACATTCAGGAAATCCATAATATTTGATAAAACATTCTATGACGCATTATGGAACAGAACAATAAATACATTACAACACCCACCTTTAGGCATTCACACGGGTGGAAAAGAGGTAAAACATCGAGACAAGCGAGCGATGTACTAAAAGTGATATACTAAAAGAAAAATACAGGCACAGCAGTTTGGTTTCGGTTCATAGTCCTAGAAGTACATTAGAATTTTAAGCCAAATTGTTCTTCTGATTTTTGATTTGGCTTTAGTAACTTAGGTTAGGCTTCTGATAGAGCATGGTAGATTGAAAATGGGCACTTATTTCTGCTCTTCCCAAAATACTACTAAAGTTAGTGTAAAGGAATGTAAAAGGTGTGAATCCACCTGAAGATAAAAAGGTAGTCAACACATCAAAAAATGGTGAAGAGGGACAGAGATGTAGGTCCCTGATGGAGTGAAGCATTTAGCATATATTGGGCACTGGAATCAACTCATGGTACCCCCCAAAAAATGGCTGAAGACACTAAAAGCTACCTAAAGGAGGTTCTAAGAGAAGTTAGATATTTCACATAGCAGAATCTAAGAATACTGAGCTGGTGGATGCACTTCAACCACAGACATCAGGGCAGAGAACAGAAAATAGGGAGACTGGTTCAGGTAATGGTGGGTTGGGCTATTAGTATCAACTCTTCTTTAAAACAAAAATGCTAAATCAAAAAAAAAAAAAGCCAAACAAAAACCATCTTAAAGATATTAAAAAATCAAAAGTCAGCTGGAACCGCAGGGTGAGTTCTGTAGCCATGGTACGTTAAAGAGCACCAAAGCTGCCATGTCTTCCGGCTGGTTTGTCAACACTGCCCATCTGGAATCTGATTCCCAGCACAAGCAGAGGCCCAAAGTCCACACGAGGTAGAAATACCTGGAAGAGACCTTCTCCACGTTGAACTAAGCCCTTGATGGAATTCTACACTCTTTTTCAATCAAGGATAAAAAGACATAACAAAGTACCCTGTCCCATCATGACAGAGAAATCTTACTGTATAATGTACATAAGGAACTTATAGCCATAGATCAAATGCCCTGTCAGCCACTTCCCACTCCCACTCCAGCTGGGATTTTAATTCCGGTAGTCAGTCATCAAGGGGGCAAGGCAAGAATTACAGACAGAGGAGAGAAAGAGGAAATAATGACGGAATATTTTTGGAACCAATAAAATGATTAACCCACAAGTCCCAGAAGCCTAGTGAATTCTGGACACCTGGACACATAATGAAAATGTAAACAACAAGGGCAGAGAAAATTTCAAAGCAACAAGTAAAGAAGGCCAGTTGTTTTCAAAAGATAGGTGATTTTTTTTTTTTTATCTTGGAGAAGATAGTAACTAGAAGGAAAAATAAGGGAGCTGGAGTCTCCAGAGTGTTGTTTCATCTTTAACGTGCCAAACAAACTAAGCCAAAACTATTCTGGCGTTTGCTAATTTAGACCCACGTAATGCTTCACAGACTTCTATACCAAGGGAATAACCAGGATGCTTAAGTTTAAAAAGCTCACCTTCACCTAATGTTGAAGCATCTTACCATCTTTTAAAACTGAAATATGTAGATCTTAACGAATTTTCCTAAAATGAACATATTTGTATACCAAGTTACTATTTTCTCTCTTTCTATACTGTGAAATCACTATGTCCAAACACCAATAAGAGTAGGGGGTTAAGTACCAAGTTCTTGAGAGCAGAGGGTCTACATATATTGTTTGAAATCTTTCTAAATGACAGATTTGACTATTCTCTCCCATTTATTTATGTATTCACTCAATTGTGTATTTATATCATTATGGACTTGTATGAGTGTTTATTTAATACTTTGAGTTATAATTTAATATTGTGCAAATTAAGAAAATTTCAGCCACTGTGAACTCTTTGGATCCTGTGATCCTTGTACATTCCCCTATTTTGTGAAGGGATTTATTTGTTTTAACATTTCCATAGTTTCAGGCACTACAAGATTCTCTAAGTTCTTCTTGTATATTCCCTGCACAAGGCCTTAGAAGCACTCATTCATCCAGAGGAGCCCACATTCATTCTGTCAATAAATGGTACTAGAAACCAAGATCAGGTACTAGATATGCTTGTTTTACCCAAGTACCATTGTTTCATAGACAGACCCTCTCAGCTGACGGTTATGAAATACCTCTGCATTAACCCAACTTATTCATATATCTATAAATATTTCTTAATGTGCTCAGAACTATGTATATTGAGCTGGACATGAGTTCATAACGATGCATTACCATGTGGATCATTTTAGCTTCTGAACTGGTTATTGGGAAACTACCTCCCAGTAGTGGGAAACCTGTCTCCCACCATCCTCCAGCTGTGCACTTATTTTTTCGATTATGTTCTGTAAATGCAGAGTGGTGTCAGAATTGTTGACCGGCATCTCCATGCTGGACACAGTGCCAATGAGCAGCACCTTTACATTCATGCTAATGGACTTCTTCAGCTTCCCACAAAACTCTGCTAAACACCTTTTTCTCCCTCACCCCTTCAGTGAGCTTATTTCATCTGCTTGTCATACAATTAGATGACTTTGCCACAGTCTACATTCTAGAGTCATCTACATTCTAGAATCACCCAATAACCTGAAATATACCATTTTTTTTAACTTGCATACATTAAAGTTCAGTCTTTTCAACAAGTTACTAATCTTCATGGAATTTACTCATTTGGTTTTTTCTTGCTTGTGCTTTTTGTGTTGTATCTAAGAAATCATTGCCTGACCAAAGATGTACTCTTATACCCTCTTCTAAGGTTTTTATTGGTTCAGGTCTTCCATTTGTCCTTTGAGTTTGTGTGTCTGTGTGTGTGTGTGTGTGTGGTGTGAGGAAAGGGATCAGTTTCATTCTTCTGTATGTCATCTAAGCACCATTTGCTAAAAAGACTTGTTTAACCTATTCTATTCCAAGCCACATTGATGAATATAATATCAATGGAGCATGACTGTAAGGGCTAATGTCTGGGCTCTAAATTCCATTCTATCACTCTATAGCCTACCCTGCGTCGGAACCACAGGGCCTCTATCCCCATAGCTTTGCAATAAGTTCTGAAAACACAGAGTACAAGTTCTACAACTTCACTCTTCCTTCTCAGGATTATTTTTGACTATTTTGGGTCCCTAGATTTTTATATGAGTTTTAGGCTCATCCTGTCAATTTCTGTCAAAAGAAAATTTCAGATGAAATTTTTTTAAGAGGTTGTGTTGAATTTTTAGACAATTTTGAGGGTTATTAGAATCTTAGCATAACAAGTTGCTGTATTTCCTAAACCATGAATCTGGGATATCTCTTTGTTTCATTTAGTTTTTAAATATGTTTCACCAATGTTTTATATTTTCAGTATATAAGCCTTGCAGTTCTTTTGATAAATTCATTCCCAAGTATTTTATCCATTTTGATGTTATCATAGCTGGAGTTGTTTTCTTCATTTTGTCTTCGGAATATTCATTGCTGAGGTGTAGAAGCACAGTTGATTTTTTTTGTATTGATACTGCATCCTGAAATCTTGCTCTCCTTTATAAGTCCTAAGAGTTCCTTTTAGAAGATTCTTTCGAATTTTCTATACATAAGAGCATGTCATCTAGAAATAGCTGGACCTATTCCTTTCCAAACTGGATGGTTTTGCCTGCTTTTTCTGTCTTTATTCCCTGGTTAGAATACCTAGCTCAACCCAGAATCAAAGCTGTAAAAGCAGGCATATTTGTCTTATTACTGAATTTAGGGGGAAGCATACAGTCTCTCACCACCAAGTATGATATCAGCTGAGGGTTTCTGTAGGTGCACTTTACCGAGTTGAGGAAGTTCTCTTCTATTTCCAGTTTGTTGCATATTTTTACCATAATTTTTTAATTTAGTCAAATGCTTTTTCTTCATCTTTTAGTCGGCCATATTACATGGATTGCTTTTTTCCCCCTGTCTTAAACAAACCTTGTATCCCTAAGAAACCCCATCCTGTTTTAGTGCACAATCCTTTGTTGTTATATTGTGAGATTCAGTTTGTTGACACTTTGTTAAAGATTTTTGCATCCATATTCACAAGGAATATTGACACATAGTTCTTTTTTTGTGGTGTCTGTGGTTTTTGCTTGTGGTTAATACTGGCTTTATAGACTAGTTGTAAAGTATTCCTTTCTCATGTTTTTGGGGGAGACTTTGTAAAGAAATGGTATCAGATCGCCTAGAAACATCTCATAAAATTCAAGATAGGCCTGGACTTATCTCTGTGAAAAGTTTTTAATTCCTTGATGTATATATGAATTCAAATTTTCTATTTCATCTTGAGTCAGTTTCTAAGAGGGTGTCCCTTATTGTCAAAATAAATGAATGAAAGACTATGGCGATATTGACTGTTCAGAAAGACTGTCATGAAGGTCCCATGTCAGTAGAGTTGCCAACCCATCATCTAGAAAGTTGAACGAGCAGAAAAGGGAGAAATTAGCCAAGAGACTAAACACATCACAACTGATGGCAACTGACCTTTTCAGAGAAGGCACTTTTGTTCCAGTAGTTTTGAATGGAAGCATTGTAGCTGCTAATGCTGAGGAGCCAGAGCCATCTACCCCACTGTCCCACCTTCCGAAATATCTGCTTCTAGAGTATCTTGAGGACCGCAGCTTGAAGTCTGTAAGAGACGAGGTGGTGGTGGTAGTGATGGTGGTGTTTTTGTAAGTAGGATCTCATCCATGAAGGCTCAGTGCAGTCTCCCTCTGATGCAAAGTAGCCAGTTTCTTGCCTAACATCACCAAGATTTATTAGAGTAGAAGACAGGCAAAGGAAGATGKTTCATACCGATTAGCGGAAAACACGGACAAATGTATTATGCGAATCAGTGTTAACAGAACAGGGTAGA